TCGATGCCACACATCAGGAACAGCGGCATTTCCAACTGGCCAAACAGCTACCTAGTTAGGTGGCTGTGACAGTAGTGCCTCTTTGCACAGGCGGACTGAAGCAAGAACAGGCACAAAATCAGTGGCCAGTGAGATAATTGACTGACCTACAAATGATGTCTCTTCACAGGTTTTCAGCAAGTGGCCCTCCCAACCCTGTTCAGCCGTGTGTGGCTGGTGTCCAATTCCATAAACTACATGACATAGCATGCCCACCAAGCTGGAGACATCAGGCAAGAATGGCTGGCATGGCATCAGGAATGTTCCTCCACCTATTTCCACAGCATTCTGCCCATTGCTCGGTAGATGGTTTTGAGAGCAAACTCAATGTTGCAACCTGTGTAAGAAGGTGGTCTGTGGCTATCTAAGTTGATTCCCAGTCTGTCAGGACGTGGTCTTTCCTGTCAACATCTGACACTCACATCGTTGTTCCGGTTAATGCTCGGTACGTGCTTGATTGTTCTTGCAGCTTGCGTTAATGTGAAGTTGTAGAAACAGCACTACTCCCATTTGGGACAGGGCTTTACCTTCCACCGTCCTGTCAGCTTGTCCATGAGGCTGTAGCTTGGAAGGAAGACAAGCACGCCATCGGGGACAGCTTGGCACCACTGCAAAAGCAACTCCCCAATGCGATCTTGAAATTCGAGTTTGTTGACTTCTTTGTGCACACATTTGATGAACTGTCCATCAGGGCCTGCAGCGACAGCGCCTCCCCACACCTGCAACAAAACATGTAAACATAGGGCTTCACCAACATCACCGCGCTTTTGTTGCACGGCTGGCACGTCTGTCAGCTGATAATTTCAAAAGTCATCTCATTCTCTTTCCTGCACTCTTGCTGAGAGTGTTTCCACGGGTTGGGGTAATTGCTGAAAGAAGGAAATAGGGCGGTCAGCAAAGCAAAAGGTACAGTTCCAATGCGGGGAAATAAGGATGTCCCAAGTCATATTCCTGTGCGCCTGTTGTATGGCAGTTGGCTGGTGGATTGTCAAAATCCAATATAGTTTCAACTTTTTACGTCGTCCACAGGACCTCTGATGATATAGGAACGAGAATGTGCATCCAAAAGCAGCCGTAGAAGAATATGGCTTGGGACATCCTTATTGTCCTACGTTGGGACTGCATGCAAGAGGCCAACTCAGGAGAACACAGATTTGCCTCTTAAAAGGAAGCTGAGATCACGCTGCGCTGAACCCAGGCGCCCTGCACCACGGCCCACACCTGTTTCACCATGTCAATCACATGGGGCGTCTCCAGCCTGAAGCCGAACCTGGCCCCAAGTTCCGACGAAAACGATTCCAGCGGGGAAAGCGTGCCTGACGTCAGCAAGACGGAGTGTGTCTGTTCCACGATTTGGCTGAAGGCCACCGCGGGGTCTAAGCACCAGAGGCACAACTGGACGGCCCATTGCCCCTGGTCCGTGTCCACCATCCAACGCCGGTGTTGCCTGCACACGACGCGCCAAGCCAACCCGTGTCGCCCCACCAGTCCGACCCGCGAAAGGACAGCAGCACGGCGACGCCGACGTGCATCCCGGGGCGCGCCGTCCCGGCGGTGCCAGCCCGCGCGTTTCGGCATGTCTACGTGGGAGCCCGAGGATGTGGACGTGGTGATTCCCACCATACGCAACTTGGATTTTCTGGAGAACTGGCGCGGCGTTCTGGAGCGCTGCCACATAATCGTGGTTCAGGACGGGGACCCAGGCAGGCGCCTGCAAGTGCCTGACGGCTTCGACTGCCAGGTCTTCAACCGCCGCGACATCGAGCGCGTGCTGGCGGACAGGGCGTGGTGCATCTCCTACAGGGACTCCGCGTGCAGGTGCTTCGGCTGGCTGGTGTCGCGCAAGAGGTACATCTACACGCTGGACGACGACTGCTTCCTACCGGGTCCGCCGCACGTGAGCAAAGACGTCAGCAGCCCTCTGGCGCGCCACATGTCCAACCTCCTGACGCCCGCCACGCCCCACTACTTCAACACGCTGTACGACCCTTTCAGGGATGGCGCGGATTTCGTGCGGGGCTACCCCTTCAGCCTGCGGGACGGCGTGCCGACGGCCATCTCCCACGGCCTGTGGCTGAACGTGCCGGACTACGACGCACCCACGCAGCTGGCCAAGCCGCTCGAGCGCAACAGGCGCTACGTGGACGCGGTGATGACCGTGCCCAGGGGCAGCCTGTTCCCCATGTGCGGCATGAACCTGGCGTTCGACAGGCAGCTCATCGGGCCGGCCATGTACTTCGGGCTCATGGGAGAGGGACAGCCCATTGGTCGCTATGACGACATGTGGGCGGGATGGTGCACCAAGGTCATCTGCGACCACCTGGGGTATGGTGTGAAAACAGGGCTGCCGTACGTGTGGCACAGCAAGGCATCCAATCCATACGCCAACCTCAAGAAAGAGTACAAAGGCGTCTTCTGGCAGGAAAAAGTGGTTCCTTTCTTCGAGAACGTGTCTCTCACCAAGGGGGGCACGGACGCCCAGGCCTGCTACCTGGAGTTGGCTGCCCAGGTTCGGACCAGTCTGGCTTGTGTTGACCCATATTTTCAGAAGCTGGCAGAAGGCATGATTTCGTGGGTACATGCGTGGCGCACCTTGAACTAGGGATTGAATGCCCAGTTTCGGAATCGTAGGCAGATCATGCACCATTGGAGCAGCCCAACCCAAGAACAAACAGTGGGAACAGTGAACATGGGCACTCTTCCAACGAGAAACAGCAACCGCCTCGCGCATTCACCAGGCCAGCCGTCCATGGGCAGCCCTCGCACCTTTGTTTAACAGCACCCCGTTGCACCCATTTCTTCACAACAAGGCGGTATGCTGATGTCCATCTCGGCTGCAAATACACGCACAGTTCGTGACATTCAGTTGGCAGGCAAGACAATGAAACACGCACTCGGCAATACACACTGGCCCCACATTCTCGTGCAGTCACCTGCCACCATCACGACCACATACTTCCACTGTCCACGCTTTTGTCACTAGCCCCTTCACCAAGCTGGCAATGCCATGCAACGAATGCAAGCATGAAGTGATATTCTTCAAGCCTGTTTGCGTCCACTGAACTGTCTGAAAGAAAGCTGGCACATCAATTATCCAACAATCGAAGGAAAGAGAGAGCACAACCACATGAATCGGCTACAGGTTCGTGCCTGCAGCTGTCCAGCTGCAAATGCATTGACAACTTGAATACTTTGGCATATAACAAACCTCCCTCAATGGAGACACATTATTGCAAGACTCAGTGTGTAGACCAACAGCAGAACTGCACAAAGACCAGTGGCGCCATGCATCTGAACAATAGACCAAAATCAGAATCTTGCACTCTAAACAGAAGAAGCCAGCAGTTGTGACAAGGCTGGGCTCCAAAAGTGCACCCACCGTGTAGAACATTCCCAGCACAGACAGGAGACTTGAAGTAATACCCAGTGCCATGCCACCAGCGTCAACGACTCCCTGATTTTCCTGATGAACACTTTGAGGACCTGAGACAAGCAATCGATGCACAAATCAGAATGAAATACTGTGCCCTGCTCACAAACAGGCACAATGTCGACCTCAGGCAGTTAACTGCACAGGACCAGCCCAGCAACTGAACACAGACCATCAGGGGGATCCACTTGGTCGTCATGTGCTTTGCGTGCCAGCTTGTAGGCCGTTGTCAGCTGCATCATCTTGCTGGGCCCTATCCCAGTGGCCTCCAGCAATTCGACTGCCTTTCCACAGTCCACACAAAAAAGTAATTATCCAACTCCAGCAGCTTCTTCCAACAGGCACAGAGTTCACAAGCTTTAAAGAAGCACTGCAAGAGGGCCACACGCAAAAGCCAGGTTCGCCTCAGGCAATTTACTCACCTGCTGACTGTCCCAGACCCTCTCGTATTGCTCATATTGTTTAGGCACAAGGTTTCCACACTGACCGTATGACAGATCTTCCAGGAGAGTTGTCAGCCTCTTGAAGGTGCCCTTGAGAAGTTCAAAGGCCTGGCACAGGCCCTCAGTGACTGGCACTACCCCGCTTGCCGCTTGTGCCATACACATATCATGTGCCTTGGCATATGCCATTTGGACAGCCTTCAGGACGCTTCAACTGGCTGGCTTCGATCAGTTCTTTTTTGCACCATTCTCAGTCAAGGCTGGGGCAGCGACTAAAGGCAAATATGGCTGTGGAGCACTGCAACCAACCTTGCAACATCCTCTATATTGTGTGCCTCATCCAGAATCAGCACAGCTTGACTCAGGGATATCTCCATTGCAGTCCTCACAACCGGGTCAGCTAGATATGTGTAAGGGCAGAAGACAACATCCGCCTGCTCTCTCAGGTGTCGGGAAGCAAAATATGGGCATCCTTCCCTCAGTTTCCCCTCAGACACCAGTTCTTCTATATCTAGAATCTGTTTGCACAGACCAGAGCATTTGTACACATATGGGGTCATGCAGCCCAGCAAATCTGCTTTTTATACCATTCATCTACACACGCCATGAGCTGCTGATCCAGGGCAGCCCTCAACACCAATGCAGAACATCGGAAGGTACCACACTGTCAGGCATGTGAGTACTCTGGTGCCAGAGTGACCACAGCAAACACAAGTATGTCCAATCCATGGTGTATGCACACAATTTGAAGAATCTTATGCAATTGGAAATCCAGCTAAAACTGAACAACCCATTAACAGGTTTGCTTTGACTGCGCAATGGAGGAACTGCAAAGCTCAACATATGGTGCTAGCATGTCCTGTCAACCCATGGAGCACCATACACATGAACCATCTCAAGATAGGCTGCCTTCTGGGAACATCAACAATTGGCTCAGGAGTTGGCTCAGGACACCACACTGAGGCTGCAACGAAAACAACAAAGCAAAGGACATCCAACTGTCCAAAACCAGTGCTGTGCTGCAACACAAGTATTCTGAGCAGGGAATCCCACAAGGATCCTACAATGGTTAGTAAGAATCCCACCTGATTGCTGATTTCATCTGTTGTTAGCCGCCACTGGCCCTTGAAGAACTTGCAGGTTCCCTCTTTGACAACCTCGTCGCATGCTTCGTCCATGCGCCCACTATTGACGACTTTATTGTTCACACAGTAATGCTTGCGTGCAGCCTGCAACACATGCAGGGCCACAAAGCATACACTTGTGTGCTTTGGAATAGTTTTCAAGAGACAGCCAATTGCGCAACGATGATCAAAATATTGGCAGCAAGACAGGGCCCTGAAAGCTAACAGTTCCAAGGCCCAGTGCCATTTCCACTATGGTCCCTTCAAGGGACAAAATTCTGCCAACGGTGCTGCTACTTTAGAAACATACTTACAAGAATCGTTGTCTTTGGACGATATTGGGTTCTTTTCAACTCCTCCACCACCTTGGAACAAAAGGCACAGTGCAATGAGAACAACAAATGTTGCAATCAAGTGTGGCTTACTACTGGCACTGGGACTAGCATGAATGTGTGTGTGTGTGTGTGTGTGTGTGTGTGTTGCTGTGCTCCACAGGGCAAAAGGGCATCTGCCATAACATTAACACCAAGAGGGCACAACGAATTCCACGTGCCAAGCAGGCAGGCCACACAACCTCTGATTGCTTGTTCACTGCTGGAGGTGGGAGTAAACCCTGCATACAAGGGCCATGCACTGACACCTAGCCATGCTTGCACACAGTCTGCGCACAAAAATAGATAGAAATCCAACACATTGTGTGGCTGGTCCATGCATGTACCCAAAATTTGTCTCAAGTTGTTTTGAGCACACAGCTGAGGCTATGCTTGGTATGTGAAGTCAGAGAAAGCAGTGGTGGCACAATCAACACATGCCACATCGTTCCTGAGGGGGGATGTTCAACAGCGTTTAATCGAAATTCTTGTCTTGGCTTGGGAAACAGACAAGAAAAGGAACTCTTGCTCCAACTTCTACTGTAATAAGGACTTCAGCAACCAATGGCAACAGTGTTGAATCTACTATGCCACATGGCTGCACAAGTTAAGCATCAAAAGCCAGATAACATGAATACCCAAAAATATAGAAGTAAAACAGAAATCAACATGCTGACCAAAAGGAATCCATGTACCAAGGCACCACCAGTATATCAGACAGAATATTGCACAGTTTTCCAGGGGTTTGCTGAGAGCCAAATTTCAGCTCCCCAAAATAAAGGGGAGTTGTTGCTTGCTACAACACTGGTGTGCCCATGCCAGTACATATGCAACGTGCCTTGGTGGAGCATCTAGGACGTGAGTTGCTGCGAATTGCAAGCCACAGAGACAATACAGATAAGATTTCATGTTGTGCTGATGCCAGAGCAGCACCCATTGAAAGAAGGCATGCACTCTGTCCAAGGTTGCTTTGCACATTGAAATATAAACATTGAGAATGTTGCCATGTTTCAAGCATTCCTTTCAACAGTTCCTGTGCAGATATATGGGGTATGTGCTTTTGCAGAAACACTTCGTTGGGCAATGCACATATCCATTTCAACGTTTAAACTTAGGGAAATGTGGCAGGTGAAACCTTGGCGGACAGGAGACTCTAGGTGCTGCCACCCACCTGCGTAATTTGTGCGTGTGTCCTTGTGGCGTAATATATTTGATATGGCTTCTGCACTGGAGCTGCGCTGCCTCTTCCGCTCTGTGGGCTGCCGACGCCCTCAGACGCCCCGAAAACATGCCGCCCTATTGCCTTGTAGCTCCCTTCCCTCTTGGCCTTCTGCCAGGCCAATGCGGAACACAGCAAAGCCAGTGTCTTGCCGCTTCCAGTAGGGGCCTCCAGCAATGCGTTCCCACCCGCATCTAGGGTTTTCAAGACCTGTTCCATGTACTTGAATTGTATTCCGTACGGCGCGTGGGGAAAATCTACAGGGTAGGCTGCGATCGTGAACCTCATCCTCGCAAATAACCACCACGACAGAGGCTGCCCGCTGATGGCTGAAACAGCAAAACAAAACAAGCGTGTGGGACGCACACAGGTCGGATACAGAAGGGAAACGTCTGTTGCCAGCAACAGCAGTCGCCTAGGTTCACGGAAACTGGAGAATGTCCCTTTGGCAAGTGGGCAAAAACTGAACGAAATTGAGCTTAGTGAGCGAAAAATCAAATCACGGACACGGACGGTAGGTGAAAAATGTTGAAGTTGTGACTAGGCACAAATGTTCAATTCCAATCAGCCATGCCGCACTGGCAACTACCAGAACCGTCCACAAGTCTTGTACTTCCGCTTTGGGTCAAGAGGCCAAAGTGACAAGTTCAAGCATCTTCATCAATCGGTTGTTCACTTAGACACCTCACAATGACCACATCATGGTCAATCAGTGGTCATCAATTGGATATCGCCCAGTAGTTTTGTAGGCACAATGGAGGGAGGGGTCCTAGCTCGTTGCAGACCCATAGTGGATCGAGCTCAAAGGGTGGTCCCAAAGGGAGGGGGAAAACCTAGAAGAAATCTGGAAATGCATTGGGATCAACTCAAGGTGACAAGAAGAGTTCACAACCTCGAGTCAAGGTGGGCCTAGCTAGATGGGGTTGGAACGGGAATGGGGACGGTGTCCGTTCCCATCCTAGCAACAGATCCGT